GTGATACCTTACAAGAGACCTTTTGCATGAAGCACATCCCAGTTACGTTATATTCACTTATTATCATGTTTTTATAAAACCATATAGACTGCACAACGTCACACCCACCATCTATCCCAGACCACCCTGCCCCAGTTAAGTCTATTAATTCATTTTTAATGTACAGCCTGGGTTATACTAATATAAATATGTTTTCTTCAATAGCCTGCAAAGAAATGACAGCTGACATCATGTTTCTAGTGGACAGTTCTGGAAGCATAGGACCAGAGAACTTTTTGAAAATGAAAAACTTTATGAGAGAACTGGTGAACAAATCTGACATCAGCACAGACCGAGTGCAGGTTGGGGTCATCCAGTTCAGTGGCCAACCACGGGAAGAGTTCCAGCTTGACCGATACTCTTCAAAAACTGACATTTTCAGTGCTATTGATAAGATGCGCCTTATGGGGGACAATGCACTAACAGGAAGCGCATTGACATTTGTGTCTGATTATTTCAAGCCTCCCAAAGGTGCACGTCCGGCTGTCAAAAAGTTTCTTATCCTGATTACAGATGGGGAAGCGCAGGATGAAGTAAAAAGTCCAGCAACAGCCTTACGTGATCAAGGTGTTATTATCTACTCTGTTGGGGTGTTTAATGCAAATAAACCTCAGCTGGAAGAGATTAGTGGGAAGCCTGAGCTGGTTTTTTACGTCGAGGAGTTTGATATTCTGAAGCACATAGAAGATGAGATCATCTTTGGAATATGCAGGCCTCATGAGGAAAGTAAGTACTGCAGTTTTCAATAACTCATGTCAATCTGTGACTGTGTAGGAATTTTGCTCTGTCCAGATAGTTGAGTATTGTAATAAAGTAAATAAACAGGCGTGCTTTCTCCTTGCAATGCCATCTTCTCCAGGAAATGCCTACAGGGATGAAAAGTGTGTGAGAAAATGAAGGTAGAATTTGGCTCACGGTACCAGCAGGCCTGTCCTACTAGCTTTCAAAGATGCTATATTCTCTCAAATAAATAATATAAATTTCATAATATTTTAAAAGTACAATATGTATGCTAATGTGTGTAAGAAAAGACTAAATCTGATTCTCACTTCTACTAAGGCTCCTTTGTGGTGCTCTGGCAGCGTAAAACATCCTTGGGGACTGATTCTTGTTTACACTAATGGCCTAGTTCTGCCCTCATTTACAAGGGTGCAACTTCTATTGAAGTCATAGAAATTGTACACATGTAAATGCGGGCAAAAATGGGCCCTATATGTTGTATTTACCGATAGACTTTAGTAGTACTCATTTACACAGGAACCCTGAATAGCCTAGAAGATAGGTGTGTGGACACACACTCTCTCTCTCTCTCTCTCTCTCTCTCTCTTCTTCGTTCGTTACGTTACGTTACGTTAC